AAAAGAACACAAACATTCAGTTAGGAGAAGTTCGACAGTTACAGTACAACATGTTAAGAATAGTAATATAGTGTATGTGGGGGGTGGGGAGGGGTGGGAGGGTGTCCCAGTCCTAAGACTTGAACTCTCCTTGAATTTTATTTGCTCAAGGCTAGTGCTCTTCCTCTTGAGACATGACTCCACTTTTGGTTTTTTGGTAGTTAACTGGAGATACGGGTTGCCCAGTCTGGCTTTGAAATCACCATACTCAGATCTCAACCTCCCGAGTAGATAGGATTACAGGTATTAGCCATCTGTGCCAGGGTAACACACATTTAAAATTGCTGATAGACTCCCCCTTCCCCCCAAGTCATGGGGCCTGAACGCTGTTCCTCAGCTCTTCAGCTCAAGGCTAGCGCTCTAGCACTTAAGCCACAGAGCCACTTCCAGTCTTTTCTGCTTATGTGTTGCTGAGGAATTGAACCCAGGGCCTCATGCATGCAAAGCAAGCACTCTACCACTGAGCTACTTTCCCAGTACCAAGAGGATAGATTTTAACTGTTTTTCCCACCCATAAAAAGACAACATCTTCATTAGTTTGGTTTAGTCATTCTAGAATGTATACTTATTTATAATTTTTATTTGTCAATTAAAAAAATCAGCACTTAAAAGAGACCTGACTAACATTTGAAGGCAAAACCTTTAGAAAATAGTAACTGGAAGGCAGTGTCTATAACACAAAGGGACAAACATCATGGTTTTCAATTTTACATTTTATTAAAGTACAGAGTTAACAAGCTTTGAGTTTTCTACTTAGGAAAAGGGGTCAAGTTCAGGTGCTTATAGAAAACCTACAATTAAAAAATCAAATACAAATTCATAACTGGCTCTGTGGCTAAAGGAGGAAAAACTACTATAACAGTTAGCAAAATCTAACCATATCAGACACCTTTATAAACTTCAAACAGTAGGTTTACCACACATATTACATTTTCAAATTCTAATATAGCAAAACGTAATCACAAAATTTAGCTATAGTTAATTGTCTGTGAAAAAATTTTAAAAAATTAACAAAGTATGACTATAAAATTTTGGTAGTTTTTCTTGCAAAGTAAAAAAAAACTTAAATCTTTATTAAAGGAAAACAAAACAATCTTCTTAAATTTCTTATAAATAGCTCTCAAGACATATATTACGTATCTGCTGTAATCTTTCTTTACCTGAGAGAACTTCCCAGAATCCCCTATCCCACAGGGCAGTGGGAAAGACTTCTTCCATCACAAACAAGATCTCATTTCTAGGGAAGTGGATTTGGATATATGCATTTTACTTTTCCTCAATTAAGTTTTATCTGAAATCTGCTTTAAAACAAAAACCCAAACTACCTCTTTGGTAAAGATCAAATATTTCAAAATGAAGGTTTCTGTGAATGAAGACAAAAAGAGGAGAGGGGAGGAGGAGAGGGACAGATCTAAGGTCTGTGAGCAACTCTACTTCCTATGAAGTCATAGGTCCAAAATTAAGTAGCTTCTATCCGCTGAATAAAACACTCACTAAACTAGCAAGTTACAGAGAAATCCCCCAGAGAACTCCACAAGCCAAAGGCAAATGCATTGGCCCTCATGGAAGACGTTCAGGGTCTCAGCTCAAGGTGAAACCCTTCTTGACTGGGGCTTGAACTCTGGGCCTGGGCGTGCTGTCCCTGAGCTCTTTAGCTCAAGGTGAGTGCTCTACCACTTGAGCCACAGCACCACGTCCAGTTTTTCCTGGTGGTTTATTAGAGAATGGAGTTTTACGGACTTCCCTGCCTGGGCTGGCTTTGAACCGAAATCCTCAGATCTCAGCCTTATGAGTGGCTAGGATTACAGGCATGAGCCACTAGTGCCTGGCTTATGAGACCATTCTTGATTATAGGCAAAATCCTCTTTCATTGCCAAGAGGAGACATCAGAATGAGATACTATTTAGAAAGGCAATAAATGAAGGAAAAGGGCCCAGGACATTTAAATATAGGCTCAGGAATTCCCTTTTCAGGGTTACGTGAAGCACCAATGGTGGTGGTAAACCGTCTGGCCAAACATTAAATACATATATCACTTTTAAAAGGCAGAGGGTAACAGGACGAGGAGGCAGGGAATGAACACTACACTGAGGTCACTTGTCACAATGGCCTCAGAGGAAGTAAAAGTACACGATTCCGAAAGGGGACCCCTCTGCAGGGAAGAGAACTCCCCAAGACTCAATACCCACCTCGACCTCTCCTTGTCAAGTCTACGTACTCTATTAAAAGCTCCAAACACTTCTGGCAAAACAAATCCTCAAGAGGATTTCCCAAGAAACTGTGAGGTTAAAACCAAAACTAACCATCTATTATTACAAAAGCTTGACCCAGTAAGGGTGTGGTAAGTTTCTCTGATGGATTATGATAGAAAATACTATCAAGTTTTGAGTTGGGTAATGCGTCTAAGCTCAACTACACCCCTGTAGGATTCCCCACTCCCTAAGCTTAAGTGTTTTACTCATGAAAATGAGTGAAGCACTTATTTCCCACGAATGCAGAGCACAAAAGAAACATTAAAAGAAACACACCTTTTGTTTTTTTAAAACTTCAGCTTCCATGACTAAGGGAATCTGACCCAGCAGCTTTGGGGAATGCGCTTTCACAATTAGCTACAAAGACTTGTAGAAAGCAAAGGTGTGTTATTTTAAAAAAAGAAAGAAAAAAGAAAAGAAAAAAAAGAGTATTAAATGGGTTAATCAAATACTATTGTCATCAAAACGCGAAGCAACTGGCACACATTTTCCAGTTTAAGTTGTAACAGCACAAAAGGTAGGTTTCTCTTCCTCCCTCCCTTCCTCCTTTCCTTTCTTCCTTCCTTCCTTGCTTCCTTCCTTTCTTGCACTCATTTCTTTTTTTTTGTTGGTTGTAGGGCTCGAATTCTGGGCCTGAGTGCTTCAGCTCAAGGTGAGTGCTCTACCACTTGAGCCACAGCACTACTTCCAATTTTCTGGTGGTTAATTGGAGATAGGGAGTCTCACTGACTTTCCTGCCCAGACTGGGCAGGATCCTCCGATCTCAGCCTCCTAGTAGCTAGGCTGACAGGCATGAGGCCAGTGGCATCAAGCTCAAAAGGTAGGTTTCTTAAACTTATGAATGCTGACTTAACACCTGAGTATTGTTTCTTGCGATTATAGTTAGTAAAGTCAACTTTTTACATACATACAGATGTACATATGTACTCTCAGCCCTCAGAGCAAACCTTGCCAGTGCAGTAGCACAGAGTGAGATGGAGAGCAAGTGTAACTCTTCCTCTTGTGCCAGAGATTACAGTTAGAAGAGACATATGCCACAGACCAGAAGTTACGTAGCTGGAAAAGGAGAATGGGCTGGCTGCCTGAGGAAGGGGTAACAATGAGCACCACTGGCACTGTCCTCTCGTTTGTATTTCTCTGAACTTCTTTCTGCAGAGGAAATGTGGCCAACAAAGGCAAGTGTAGCAATGTCTGGCCTGGTCAGTGGGCCTTGACCTAGTATGAAGGCCAGGTCTAAAGTTATGTTAGCTGGATGCCAGAAGACAAATCAGGGTTTTACTGTTCATACCACCCCTTGGGCTCACCATCTGCTTCCTAAAGGTGACTTCAGCTCCTCAGAGCCATCCCCTCAAAGCATTGCCCCCGGCCCCCCAGGCCTCTCAGGCCAGGGAAATACCACATACAGCCTCCACTTTCTGAACCTCAAGGAACTCCTACTCCCTTCCTGCTGCTTAACCAGGGCTTCTCAGGGTTAGCATGAAGCTATTCCTTTGAACCGTTGAGTACAAATCCCTTTGAACTCCTGGTCTATAAAAAGAACTTTGAGAAAGGTGACAAACAAAGCTTTCTCACGTGCACATATACTCATACATGACTTTTTAAGACTGAATCTCAAACACTGGCAAATAAGGCAAATGCCCAATGGAATTTTCCCCAATATTCATCCCCTCCTCTTTGGTATTCTTGGCAAGGAGGTCAAAGGAGTAGAAAGGAAGAATTTAACTAATTTTCCCCTCCAGCATTTTTGGCACGCCGAAGCTAGGCTTAGGTGTGGCCCCACTTAGCCCAATGTGTACAGAAGAACACAGGAAAAATGTCTGAGCTCAGGAAGAATCTTTCCACCCTACACGTAACAATAGTAGAAATATCTCCAATAGACTTCCACAGAGAAAATCTCCTGCCTCATTGAAAACATCAATACTGAAGATGCCTATCTTGTCTGTGGATGCCCTGTATGGCTTAATTAAATGCCTTCAATCAGCCACCTTTTCTTCTAAGTATACATGGTCCCTTCCACAGCTTGACTGACAGTATGTCTGACCAGTCCTATTTAGGAACAGCCCCAGGATACACCTCTTCATACATCTACTCCAAGGAAAGCATGTGGACATTAATGGTGTGCTCATATTGCAAGCTCTTTTGCTCCTACGATGTCAACCAAGGACTTGAAGTGGAAGAGAAATGAGAGGCTGACCTTAACACCTGAAAGGGCGGTAGCAGGCTTCAGTTAAGGAATGACTTTTCTTTTAAGGTTCTTAAAGTATTATTAATAGCACAAACAAGGAAGAAGTAGCCCTCTGTTGCTGAGGCAAAGATAATATGAGTACTGTTCCACAACTGGGAACAGCAGCACAGATAAGCGCTTTGCTTATTGCAGTAACTCTGATCATGGAGTGATAATATGGTAGGAACCCCAAGAGTGGTGATGGTAAATTGTGCATTTCACATTGTTACAAAAATGCTGAACCCCAAAAGAATGAGGAGTCCTCTGAGACCAATGAGGCAAAGAGGGAAGGCTGTGATTCCCAGCATCACAACCTCAAAGGGAAATGCTGGGGGAGGGGGAACACACAGGAAGTGGCACTGAGGGTGGATTTGAAGGCAGATGCTTCCTCTTGTACCCTATAAATACCAGGAAGCTGTGAGCTGGGATCCTCTGGAGACCAGGCTCCAGGAGGCAGAGGAGAATAAAGGGGCAAGGGGCCTGGATTCTCTCAGAGGCTGCATATTTTTAATAATAAGGATGAAAACAATACAGTAATTTTTATCCCTAGGAAAATGTGTTGTGTTCTCAGCTCTATTTTGGTATAAAACACATCTATGGAAAACACTAATGTAACTACTACCTAGTAAGTAGGGAGAAGACATAAGAATACATACACTACCCATTAATTTGAAAATTTCAATTCCTTTAGGTCAAGTTTCATTTTGAATGTCAGAAAAATTAATCTAATTAATTAATCTCTTGTTTAAAAAAGTGAATACGGGGAGATTTCCTCCCTACCCCGAAACCTTTTTCAGACCCATTTTAGACAGCCAGAGAATTTCAGCTTTTCGTAAGACAACAGTTGCCGCTCAAACCCCTGTTACACTTGTTCACAGGACAGAATTTCAGGGTACAAGCCTGCTGATCCACAGGCCTGCTGATGTTGTCACACGGAGAACTGCCGAGAAGGACAGCAGAGGGGAGCCACCAGCGTCCACAGGTACAACAGCACACACATCCAGCAGGAGGCCATCTTCACCCAGAAGATGGACCAGCTTCCACTGAAGAAGGTCTCAATGCTGGCACTCTCATAGCTGTTGGAAACAAGACACCCGGCTATGGTCAGAGCAGGAGCAGAAGGTGGGATAGGAAACATTTCTCTCTGCTACCAAGTGCCTCCCCATCTCCAGCTCCTAATACCCTTCCTTCTCCTTTCTTTTCAACAACTTAATGGAGATATAATTCATACTCTTTTCAAAAATACAACTTAATGACTTTTTTTTAAATATATTAATGGACTTGTGCAATCATCACAATCAATTTTAGAACACTCTCAGCTGCCCTGCCATTCCTACTACCTCCCATCACTTTGCATTTATTAACCTACTTCCTGTGTAGATCTGCCTTTTCGGCCAGTCCATATGGATGCAATCATGTGGCCTCTTATGATTGTTTTTTCTACTCAGCATTGTTTCCAAGGCTCTTCCATGTTGTAGGCAGAGTATCTCTTAACTGAAATGCTTGGGATAAGAAGTAGTTTTTCTGACTTTAGAATATTTACATAGCTGTTAAGAGCCAAGCAAGTCCAAAATCTGAAATGGTCCAACATATTGTTTGACTGTCATGTTAGATTTACTAGAAATTTGAAAAATGGGGAGGGGGAAAGAGATATATCTGAAGCACAAACAAGGCATTGTTTCTCTTTCACACAAAATAAAGAGATTTTTTTTGGGAGGGTCCGGACGTGGGGCCTGAACTCTGGGCCTGGGCGCTGTCCCTCAGCTCTTCAGCTCAAGGCTAGCGCTCTACCACTTGAGCCACAGCACCACTCCGGCTTTTTTCTTTTTGCTTATGTGGTGGTGAGAAATCAAACCCAGGGCCTCAGGCATGCAAGGCAAGCGCTCTACCACTGAGCCTCCTTCCCAGCCCCAGGGATTTTTTTTTTCTTCAGTTACTACTATGTTTTTCAGACTGCCATATACAGTTAAACTTTTCTTTCTTATTTTATTTTGTTCCTGGGTGGTTGTTTTATTTTGTTTCTGGGTGTTTTTATTTTGTTCTGGGATTCAACCCAGGAGCTGAGTCTTGAATTCTTCACAGCTAAGAATATGCTCTACCACTGAACTATACTACCAGCAATCATCTGCTTTTTTAAAGCTGCAATGAGCACCATTAATATCCAGGGTACAAAGGATGTCAATCCAGTGGTAAGAACTCTGAACTGTTTGTTAAGAAGGCTGCATATACAGTAAGACCTGCAGAAGAGCTTAGCTGACTCTAGGAAGATGGGCTATTCCACGCTATTCTGGGGGCAGAGAGTAGAAGAACTATAGAGGCCAACCAGAGGAAACAAGTTCACAAGATTCAATTTCAAGTAATAAAAACTGAGCATAGCGGTGAAAGCCTGTCATTCCATCTACACAGAAGTATAAAGTAAATGGACGATCATGGTCCAAATTACCTTGAGCATACGTGTGAGACCCTATTTGAAAAACTAAAGCAAAAAGTGATGGGGACATGGCCCAAGTGGTACAGCACTCCTAGCAAATCAAGGTCCTAAGTTCAAACCTCAGTACTGCAACAAGAGCAACTAAAAAGATCCTAACCAACCGCCCACCCCCCAAAAATAGCACCTAGCTTAATTCTTAATAATCAAATAGGCCACTTACTGGAACCAGTTGGTAACAGTCATCATTACATAGAGGGAAGCCAATAAGAACACAAAGTGGAAATAGGCATAGCTGTAGACAGTGCCTTTCTTCTCATCATAAATGACCCGTGGTCCTTCTTTCACATTCTGCTGCTCTTCCGTTTCTGTGAATCCAAGGGAAGCAAAGTGCAATGAGTGAACACATGCACCGTTCCATTTTACAATGATACACTCACCCATTGCAGTTCAGGGGCTGATGAGTAGACATTTGTAACCTCTATCTGTGTCCTGACCACAAGACTGCTATGACACACCTCGGGACTCCTAGACCAGATGAATTACCAAGAACATTTATTTTGGGAGAGCAGAAGAAAGCCCTTAAGACTATAAGCACATCAGAAGTTGGCAGAAGGTAGGAGTTCCCACAGAGTTCTCAAGGCCCCGATATCTCTTCCAATAAGAAAAGTTGAAGGCAAGGGCCCCCAAAATGAGCTATTGGACAACTTGGTATTTTCTAGACCATTCCATTAAAAGTATATAGATTTTTTTCACTGTATAGTTTAATTTCTATATGAATAGTGATTTTTCTGCCAGAAACCAACAAACCCAGCCACCCCTTAAAGAAGAATGTAAAAAGAATATAAAAAATAAGCCAGATTTAAATTCCCTTTCCAGTCAAGCTATTTAAGTGTCTGAATTGCAACTGCCTACAGTGAGAAGTACCAGTCTACAGAGCCATGGCAAGGTCTAGGATGAAAGTACTCCACTTACCCTCTCCATCGGAACCAAAGCAAAAACAACACCGAGCTACCTGTGAGATCAAAGACAACTTAGTGAGATGCCTGCAGTTTCCTGTCACCCCACTAATAGGTAGAGCTTTCTTTCTTTCTTTCTTTTTTTGTTTGGTCGGTCATGGGGCCTGAACTCTGGGCCTGGCTGCTGTCCCTAAGCTCTTCAGCTCAAGGCTAGCACTAACACTTGGGCCACAGCGCCACTTCCAGCTTTTTTCTGCATATGTAGTACTGAGGAATTGAACCCAGGGCCTCATGCATGCAAGGCAAGCACTCTACCACTGAGCCACCTTCCCAGCCCCAAGCTTTTGGTTTTTTATTGGAATAGAAAATGGTGAAATTGGAGCCCTAAACCATATAACTCGTGTCCCCTTAAAAATTTGGCTAAGCATTTGTTTTTGTTCTGGTATGTTGAGTACTGGTGACAGGGAATACAAGGATGTGCCACTCAAGAGCCCTTCAAAGGGACGGGGACTCACTCCAGCTACTATGATTGCTGGGAGCACAGTCTCCAGATGGAGGCTCTTTTAGACTTGTTCAGCTACAGAGCTGCTCTAAGCTTCAGCAAGCCCTTCTTGGGCATCCACCACCAAATAATGAAGAAGGCCCAGCCTTCAAGACTGGACACTCTTGAGAGATCACTATCCCTTGATACAACCCCTGGGATTAGTGAGGCTTTGTTCAGCCTGAACTGCCCTTTCTGTTCATCCTCTACCTGATTCTGTCCCCATCTTCCTCATTCTACTGATATGTATCCTTCCTGGCACACTCTGCCTCAGTTTCTACTTCTGAAATTCAACCTAAAACATACAGTGGAGAGTACAAGGGCCTGCTCTCCTCACACTTCCTTTTAGTGCACTGCTTACCAGGCTGTTTCCTTAAAACCTCTTCAATTTTTGAGCCTAGAATTACTATCCTGTTCGCAACTGAAGAAATTGAGATCTAATGGGTTAAAAGCTTGAAGTCCCAAAATTAGCCAGTGACAGAGCTGGGACCCAAATGCAGGATGGAGACTCTAAGTCCATGACTCATGGTGAGTGACATGTGGTCTCAGCAGGGAGATCAGGAGCAGTGCAGAGTTTGGAAGCACAAGGCCTGCACGTTTCCTATACAGTCAGGCTGCTGAACTGGCTGTGGACATGGCTGGATAGGATTGCTTGTCTCTGAAACATCTTCAGTGCCTTTTAAGTTTTATATCCTATCTTTTGCTTATTCAAAACAATAGACTTAATGAAAAGAAATGAAATTGCAAAAAACAACTACTTTACGTAAAGACTGATAGTCTGGGAAGCGCTGGGTTCTTGCTACTTAATAGAAGATATTTGAATTATCAAAAACAAAAACAAAAAACAAACAAACAAACAAAATGGAGCCAGGGCCGAGGATGTGGGATCTTGGGCCTTTGTTCCATTTGTACAGTTCAAGGCAAAGCCCTTACTTCCTTCCTGCACAGCAAGGAAACTTGATTGAATAGAGGCATCAGCCTTGACAAATTTTGGGTCATGTGATGTGGCCTACCCCTCTGTGAGCCCAAGTGGGCTGAGGTCTTAGTTCTTTTAAAACTTGAATTACTACAAGAAAATATCAACTCCCTCTTTTAAATGTGTATCCTGTGAAATGTAACAACAGGAGAGCAAACCACTTGCTTAGAGGGAAACACTAGGTTTCCCCTCCCAATGAGAACAATTTCCTCTCTTAAATCTAACCTAGAGACTAGCTGTTCTTTGAGCTTGAACTCTGTACACAACAGAGACATTGAAAGTATAATAGCCCAACCTCAGCAGGTGGCCATGTAGTCAGTGGTGAGAACAAGCGCCTGCCTTCTAGAGCCCATTCTCTTCAGTATACAAGCAGTAACCTATTCAAACCCATCCTTTAAGGGACTGAGTAAGCTGGTAAATGATGTTGGCAGAGTGACAAACCTTCATAATGGCCCACTATCTCTGGGTCAGGTTCAGGAAAGACCATCCCCAGACATCCAGCTGCAGAATACAGACTGTCCTTTATCTGGACAGACACCAGGGTTCTTCCCTCAGACAAAGACATTAGAGTAGAGCCAGTGGCTAGATGCCAGGTAAGGGCAACAGCAAGGACCAGAGGAGAGCAACTGAGTCCCTGAGCAGCTGGTCAAGAACAGACTCTGGGCCACACCCTGGCAAAAGGAAGTGGCAAGTATAAATCACTTATCTTTTTCAGTTGTCTAAATATGCTTCCATGAGGATTAAATGAAACCACATGTGTAAGGCTTAGAATACACGGTGCCTGGCACCCGGCTAGTGCTATACATGATAGCCATCAGGAGATCTCTCAGACCTTGCCATTCTTGGGTTGACTCTTTTTCTAACTTCCTTCACCTGAGTAAATCCTGACTATGGTATATATCCATCAAGAACTCCAGAAAAAGACTTCTGTACAAGAAAGAAAATAACAGATACCCTATCGACCCAGCAGCTGCGGACATTCAGGTAAATGGCTCACCAATGTGCTTCTTGTTCTTAATTCTTTACCCAATGACATATGTGCCTAATGGAATTGATCAGAGTTAAGGGGGTTGATGTATCTATTGCAGTCAGCAGCATCTGCACAGAACACACACAGTGCCTTCCTTTTCCTGCCTCTTATCCTTCAGAACTGCTATTACAAAACCTCCTAGACATGCTGTATATGGAGGGTAAATCAAAAACTCTACCCATATTCTATTTCAGCCACAGAAAAGACCAAGGTGAAGCCTGACAAAGTTACCTGAACTCTGTTTGGTGGTGGACAGGCAACAGGATGCCAACAGAGGCCAACATTGTTGGAGGAAAAGTCAAGAATTAGTTCACTCATTTTAATACCACAATGTATATGTGGAGCAATATTTCTTTTTCTATACATATTCTTTCTATACATATTTCTATACATATTCTATACATATTCACATATTCTTTCCCAAGCAAAAGAACAGGATCATGAAGTGTAGATTAATAAATAAAAACAAACACAAAAGGGCCTCCTCTGAGAAATGAGGAAAAGGAAATCAACTTACTTCTAGTTCAGGAGCTGCATATCGCCCCTGCAGAGCATCAGAGCTCGATCTTGTTGTTGATGTCAAGCTAAGAAACAAACAAAAAGTCAGCAGGGCACAGTAACACTTTATGTCACCTGGAACAAAGGAGAAAACTGGCTGGCCATGTCCAGTGACAGGCTCACTGCACCTCTAGTTCCCATCTTTCAATGAAAACACATTACCCTCCTTATCCTCACCTGTGGATTTAACCAACCTCAGATAAAAAATATCTAAGAGTGGGCGGGTGGGGGGGGGAGGCTGGGAAGGGATGCAAAGGGTAAACAAAGGAGGAGGTTGCAATGCTTGATAAGAAATGTACGCATTATCCTGCCCATGTAATTGTAACCCCTCTGTACAGTGTGTTCACAAAAAAAAATAAAATAAAAAAAAAAATCTAAGAGTATGGGTGGATTCCTTACCAAAAAGGTGCAGATTCTTTTTCCTTGTCCTGTTTTCCCTAAACAATCTAGTAGAGCAGCCATTTACATAATACTAATATTGTGTCAGGTATATAAATAATCTGGAGATAATTTTTGAAATATGAGGAGGGCCAGTTCAATAGCTAGCATCTTTTTTTTTTTTTTTTTTTGTGGAATCATCTTATGCCAAAAGAAGTTTGCAATTAGAGAAAGCTGTGTCTTGGTCCTCTGTATTGATTTTCAGTATTGGCTTTTGTATAAACCACTCAAAAGCCAGGATAACTTTCTGATTTTATCTCTCCCTCCCTTTGGCCCTTCTCAGAGAGGACTAAAAAATAATGAAGGGTCTGGGAAGGTGGCTCAGTGGTAGAGTGCTTGCCTTGCATGCATAAGACCCTTGCTTCAATTCTTCAGCACCACTTAAGTAGAAAAAGCTGTAAATGGTGCTATGGCTCAAGTGGTAGAGCACTAGCCTTGAGCTGAAGAGCGAAGGGACAGTGCCCAGGCCCAGAGTTCAGGCTCCATCACTGACAAAAAAAAAAAATCCCAGTGCTGGCAGCTAAAGCCTCCTACACTGGGCTGCACAGTAAGACTTCAGGCTATATAGTAACACTCCACATGAAAGCAAAGGTCTTAATCATTTCTGTGTTAGTCAGAAGATGGCAGAACAAAGTTTTCCATTTAGAAACTTAACAGAGTAGCAGGCAGTATATTAAAAGTTTCTTCCCACCAATTTCCCCACCATAAAAAAGAAAAGGTGCTGGGTGCTGGTGGTTCATGCTTGTAATTCTAGCTACTCAGGAGGCTGAGAAATGAGGATCGAAGTTCAAAGCCAGTACAGGCAGGAATGCCTGTGAGACTCTTATCTCCAATTAAGCACCCCAAAACTGGCTGTGGCTCAAGTGGTAGAACGCTAGCCTTGAGCTGAAGAGCTCAGGGACAGCACCCAGGCCCAGAGTTCAAGACCCATGACAGACAAAAAAGAAAAAAGAAAATGTTATAAAATTTGGCTTGCAGGATTAAAAAAAATATTTTCCATAAAATAAAAATCAAGAAGACATTTTTTTTCTTTCTTTTTTGTTGGTCATGGAGCTCTGGGCCTAAGCGCTATCCCTCAGCGTTTCAGCTCAAGGCTGTGCTCTACCACTTGAGCCACAGCACCACTTCTGGCTTTCTGTGTTTATGTGGTATTGAAGAAACAAACCCAGGGCCTCAAGCATGCAAGGCAAGCTCTCTGAGCCCCATTCCCAGCCCCTCAGGAAGACATTTTAAACAAACAAAAAGTAACAATATTCCAGCTAACTCTACAGACTGATTTAATATTTAATAAAGATCTCTTTGTGTTCTAGACCCTATCTGAGTGCTGGGGACTCACTTGCAGTCTCAAAGCTACTTGACAAAAAGAGCTATGAGCATTATTGCTAATCTGCTAGTGGACAGGCAAGAATTAGGAGTCAAGTCATTTCCACAGATAAGCCTCATAAGGTAGCCTGGCCTTCTTTGCCCATCCTCATCCTCTTTCCCAATGACAGAAGAGATAAATAAGCTGCACAGAAACAAAACAAAACAAAAGGCTTGTTTGCAAATGGATCTCCTGGGACCCATGCACTGTTTTGCAGCTTCCTGAAATCCAACAAGCATCACTTTCACATCTGTTTTGAGCAGATGGATGCTAGTCAGGGCTCACTTCAGTCCTCCTTCCTGACTGTGAACCTGGTCCAAGAGAGGATGGGCTGTGCAAGGAATGCATTTATGAAGGCCCTATATTTTGTGCAGATGAATCATATTTCATTGTAGTATAGTTTCCATTGGGGAGGATGTAACTTCTAATTTCAGGATAAGATAAGCATCTGAAATTTTCATATGGAAAAACATGAATATTCTTTCAAAGCATTACAATAAATATTCCATTTGATAATTTTTTTTTTTTTTGGAATAAGACATAGTTGTGGCAGTGCTAGGGCTTGAACTGAAGGCCTAGATGCTGACCTTTAGCTTTCTCTGCTAAAGGCTGGTATTCTATCACTTGAGCCATATTTCCACTTCTGATTTTATTTTTTTGGGGGGGTAGGGGGAGAGTAGGGGAGAGGGGTGTGTGTGTAGTAAATTTGAGGTAAGAGTCTCATGGACTTTCCTGCCCAGACTAGCTGTGTAACAAGATCCTCAGATCTCAGTTTCCTGAGTTAGCTAGAATTAGAGGTTTGAACTGAATCTAGCATTTTTGCCACTGCATTTCTACCATAAGAATACATTAAAATGGGGAAAGCTTCATTTTTATTCTAATAACATTGTATCCAGTTCAGCATTAGTGGCATGTGACCTTGCCTTTATTCAGTCAAGGCATTTCCTATAAAACACTCTTCTTGGTAGCATATCAAGAAAACCCTAGCCAAGCATTGGAAGGGGGGGGGGCGGGGGGGAAGGAATGAGGAGGGGAGGGTGGGCAGGCATGAGGGAATGAGGAGTGAGTCACACCTAGTTTGAAAGCTTTTAGGCCAAAAAGAAAAAATCTTATTGTTGGCCTGCAGGCTATGACCAAGATCCACCTGGCTGACCCTGCACAAATAGCTTAAAACAATTCCCAGGTTATCTTAAAGGTCTTTTATAGGGCTAAATCATATGTAATTCTAGCCAGTACTTTCTGCAGGGGAGCAGCAGATCACTAGCATTTACTTGAGGCTACATCATACAGACAGTATCTAATGCACCACAGCCAAGTACTTACTCTGTCTGGGCTTCACCCACCAAAGCCTCAGTGTCTTACTACCTGGAAACATTCCCCAAAACATGCTCCCCTCTTTCTCACTCCTCCAGAAACCATTGTGGTACTAAACTTCATCTGTAGGGCAGAGAGAGGCTCCTCAGCCCTTCAGCTTCAGGTAATTCTAGAGCTGGTCAAAGTCTTCTGTGTCACAAAAACCTCAAAGAACACATCCAGACTTTTCTAATGGAGATCACAGATCCTGCCCTTCTTGACTAACTTACAGGGCAGGTCCTGGACACATCCCATGACCTTCTAGATTTTGCATGATGAAGTTCTATCATGTTCACATGGCACTACAGCCTGGATTCCTGCATGAGCTGGAGAAGTCATCTCACACTTGTGACAGTCGTGAAGATATTTCACTAGCAGGTTAGTCAGTGATGAGATTCCTGAAATAAAGCCACAATCTACCATACTTCCTTTCTTCTTTTTCTTTCTTTTCTCCTCCCCCTTCTCTCCTCCCCTCCCCCTTTCCTTCCTTCCTTTTTCCCTTCCCCATCCTGCTTACTTTTTCTTCTGGGGATTAAACTCAAGGACTCAACTTTACTAGGCAAGTGCTCTGCCTTCTAAACCACAATTCCAACCCTTTTTATTTTAGTTTTACAGCTAGGGCCTTGCACTAACTTTGCCTAGATTGGCCTAAAAGCTGAGAATCTCTTACCTCCACCTACTAACTTGCCTGAATTATAGGCATACACCATAACACCCAGACCGCCTTCCTTTTTTCTTGAACAGAAATAGCAGGCCCAGAACATACCAAAAGAATAAATATCCCTCCTCAATTTGTTAGTTTTCTTAGTTTAAGCCAACTGTCTCTTGTGCTTATCGTCCTGCTTAAACAAGGGCATCACTTGACTCCGAGTGCACGTGTGCGTGCGTGCGTGCGTGCGTGCGTGTGTGTGTGTGTGTGTGTGTGTGTAGATTTGGAGGAGTCTCCAACATGTCTCTTCATATACTCCAGCAAAAAAGATTCGAGAGGGTTTTCTGAAACTGAAGTAGAAAGCTACAGAAACTATAGATTGTATGTACAAAAACAAGTGGTCTTGATCAACTCTAGGATCCTGTCCAGGCTCATGGCTTGAGCTTGAAGCCAAAAGAGTGACAAATTCAATCAAATCCAGAGACCAAGGAGAAAGTTAAGAAAAATTAGTAGAGGCTGGTGCTTGTCACAGCAAGGATGCAGGACTAAAAGGTTTGGGAAGGGACCTACAGAAAGAACAATCAGGAAACCCTGACAAGGTGAATGTCACCAAGCCCAAGGTGAGCGGTTACCTGAGGCCTGAGCTGTGGCTCTTCCACAGCAGAACTCCAGCCCAGGAAGGGGCTCTTATGAAAAGTTGGTTATGGGCAGAAAGCCAGAAAGTAAGTTCTGGCTAAACAGTTCTTTCAGGTGAGACAGTGCAGAGTAAAATATACTCTCAGTGAAGAGTCCAATAGCAAGTCCCTAAACAGTTTAGCTGTGTGGGTATGGCAGGAAACCTCCAGAGAGGTGAGCGGCACTCAGGGGCTGAGCCTTCTATAACCTTACAGAAAGTGACACTTACCTCTCCACCCCAGACCATCTGTGCCATGCACTAAACACTGGTGATCTCTCATTTTTCTTAAGCCAGGGAGAAAAACATAAACTCTAGGAAGTCAAGACTTGAAAAGCCCCTCATTGAGCTAAGCATTTCCTTTCATCAGTGCCTCACTATGTCTGAACTCAGTTCCCTGTGATCTTGAAGCCAGTTTGTTTATAACATTCTTGAAGCTGACTTCTTGTGGGGCTCCAGTGGGTAATGATAGCAAACATTAATCATCAGGCTTCTACACGGAACTTCACTAACTCCTGCAGGGAATTCAACTGCCCATCCTCTCCATAGTATGTAAGTTCCTGAGTGTTACAGAAATACACCACAGAACTGGCTGGTTACTCTGCATCTATACTTTGAGGGAGTGCCTTTCTCACAACTCCTTTTCCATGGGCCAGTACAGTCTTGCAGCTAAATTACCAGCATTCAAAAATAATGCTGATTGTTAGGCAGGTAGACAGATTTTTTTAAATAGCAGCTGTCAGCTTAGAAAATTGACATCTTTTGGGCATTCTAGCCTTTGCCACCCTTCACTACGATGCCTCAATTCTGAAACCACAACAATTTATTTATCATCTCTCATACAATGGTGACTAAAAGGTGATTATTTTTCCCTCAGTACTGGGGATTGAACCCAGGGCTCTGCACCTGCTGGGCAGAGAGGGAGAAGAGGAATGGAAATATGGTGGAAGGGGTGAATCTGTTCAAAGTACACTGTGTGTATATATAAAATATCACAATGAGACTGCCTCATATTACAAGTGTATGCTGATTCAAAAATAAAATAAATTAAATTAAAAAAATAAAATACAAGGATAGAAATGGCTACCCCAGCCTCTGCTGATGCAACAAGGAAGCTGTCATGAGGTGATGATGTCACAGACTGAGGATCAATGCTAGACAATCATTGCTTTCACCACTGCAACACAAACAAGTACTTTTTAAAAAAAAACAAAACTGAGCAATAACTCCATAAAGGTCTCTGTTTTTACTGGCCTCTTACTAAGGCTGTGGAGTGTAAGAGGAAAGTGTCAATGTGCTTGAAAAGACACTATGTATATAAGCTGTAACCCTCAGGATTGTTTGGTTTCTCAAAAGAAAGATTATAATGTGCCCAGGACAACTTGAATTTCTTACATACTGTAACAAACACAACACAAAACACACAAAGGGAAAAAAAATCTATCAGTGAAAAGGTTACTGTCAAAAGGAGGCTTGATTACCAGTGAAACACCTACCAGAATAAGTAGCTAACCATTTTGATCCTTGCCTTTTCTCTCTCCAGTAATCACTGAAATGTTTCAAAAGTACAGTAGCCCCCACCATACGCATCTGAAAACACAGTCTACTTGTATATATCTCACTGAGAAGACCTGCCTCACCCATTTGCCGGCACTGTGGGGTTCAGCACAGAAAAAGTGGGACATTTCCTTTCTTGGACTGTGCCAGAATAACTTTTTGTGCAGCACTCTATCCTCTTCCCACCACCAACAGAATAAATGCTATTTATTTTGGGTGAGGAAGTTGCCAGAATACTCTGGCACATACTATCCTCTTCCTCACTTTGTGTTTCCTTGCTCTTCAAGAATGCTGCAGCCACTAATAATCAACTGTTTTTTAAGGTCATTAGGCAACAGTGCTCCAATGTAGCATGTTTTTATTTTATTTGCCCAATCAACATTCAAGTAAGGTAAATGGAGCGCGGATACATAGAGTTCATGCAGTAGTACCAGCCTGTTACTTCTGTTTATTTTTCTCCTTCCTTGTTTGGCTGCCTTATGGCAGTTGAAACTTACTTAAATTCTTTCCCTCTAATTTTACTTAAATTCTTTCCCTCTAATTTCCCTCTGTAAATTGGCTTCAAGAAGCGCTGAAGACTTACCAAGAATATAAGATACATGCAATCAGCAGGAAAGTACCTAGCCCAGTCACCAAGTTTTCATCTCTATACAGGTCTTGACCAAAGTCAGGCACACAGATGGTAACATTCTTTCCATGTTCATCTAGAACTTATAAAGAAAATAACCACAATCAAATTTTGAAAGGACTAATGTAGTTCATAGCAGTGTTCATCTTGAAAAGATTCAGTAAACTGTGGTGTGACCCCTTCCAATGCTGAACCCTTACTATTAGAAAAGTCTACTCTACAGCATCAATCTACTCAGGCTAGATTTCTGCTGTTTCAAAGTACCACTCATTCACATCAGAATACAAGTGGAACAAGATCCCCAAATTCCAGTATAGTTTTCAAGTTCTGAGATTCAACAGTCTTGTTCTTTTTCAGCATAATTTGAATTAGTGGTAAAAAAACAAACAACAACAACCCCCTCCCTGAAAAGACAAAAAAAACCCCTAAAGTTGGGTCGATATTTCACTGGATTAAGCAGCATCTGAAAAGAGGCATTCAGTGGTGGTCCCCTGATCCACAGGTGCACTGCCGCCAGTCAAGACCAATTCTGTAGCAGGGCAGCACAGTCCCACCCAGAGCCTCTAACCCAGAGGGGTAATTATACAAATAACACAGCAATCAGAGCCTCTTTTAGTCTGCAATGTGGTAACCTCCTTAGGTGGTATGAATTTTAGAAAATAGGAGGCTACATATAAAGATTTCTGTAATATTACCATCAATGGTAATTTATATTTTGTCTAACACCATGTCTTCAACTTTGATGATACAACCTAGGTCTAATTGCCAACTTGACCCCAAAATAAGGAACATAAACATAAAACAGAACAGTCTAGCAACCATTCTGCAAACATTCACATTCTGTTTGAAGTCAGACTAAAATTAACAGTATTCTCAGTGGAAATAGTAACTAAAACCATCGATGCTGTGGTTAAAAAAAAAAAAAATCACCAGGTGCCAGTGGCTCAATCCTGTAATCCTAAATTCTAACTGCTCAGGAGACTGAGATCTGAGGATTGTGGTTAGGAGCCAGCCCAGGCAGGAAAGTCTGAAGGACTCTTACCTCCAAAAAACTAATCAGAAAAAGCTGGAAGTGGGACTGTGGCTCAAGTAGAGTGGTCCCCTTGAGCATCAAGAGGCTCAGGGACAGCACTCAGGCCCAGAGTTCAAGTCCTAGGACTGGCATAAAACAAAACAAAACAACAACGACAAAAAACTCTTCTCAGACTAATGAAAAACAGTTTTAGAAAAGTAAACAAAACACAAGTAGTACCCCTGGAAATGAAAAGTGTTTATTTTTAAGTGACACTTGCTATTTTAAAAAAATACTGTAAGCTTAAACTCTATTAAGAAGAGAGATTATTACATAAACAACCATAAGAGAAAACCTTACAGCTGGTGAGAGCACAGCTCAAGTGGTACAGCACCTGCCTATCGAGCTCAAGGCTGAATTCATACATCAGTAGTGACAAAAAAGGGGGAGGAGGCATAAAGAAACTAGATTTAAATAAACTTACAGAATCAGAGTCAAGATGGAGATTTTTGTTTAAAAAAATCCCATACAGACTATACTTATCGTAAGATCTCCAGTGATCCATTTCTAGTAAAATACGTTAGAAACTCTTTCCAAATAATCATGGCAACAATTCTGCGATAGTAGCAGCTATGTGTACACAGCATCTACTCTGTGCCAGGCACTGTCCTAAATTTGATTGATAAACATAGCTAGAAAAACATTTTCACTGAATTCTTAAAACCACTCTCTAAACCCAGGCAGTCTGACTCCAAAGGTCACATTCCAATCCTATGCTGTTGTCTCTGTAAATGAATGTCATTTAAGATGAGCAATATAAGATAACCCACTAGCTGGGAGAGGATCTAATTCAAGCCCAACCTCCCTTATGTTCTTTCCATTCCTTTTATTACATCCAGAGAAATAACCTTCTGAAGGAAAGAAAATAACCAACTTAAAAAGAAGCAAAAAACAAACAATTTTCCTTTTCTTTGGCTGGTCCTGGGGCTTGAACTCAAGGCCTGGGCACTATTCCTGAGCTTCTTTTGCTCAAGGCCAGCACTCTATTACTTGAGCCACAGCACCACTTCTGCCTTTTTCTGTTTATGTGATACTGAGGAATCGACCCAGGGCTTTCTGCTAGGGGTAAGCCACCCCCCACCCCCCAAAAAAACCTTTTCCATATCATTTTTTTTTTTCATGAAAAAAATCTAGATCTCCTTTTCTTGGGGGAGGGGGGGAGTTGGTCATGGGGCTTGAACCCTGGGCCTGGGCACTGTCCCTCAGCTCTTCAGCTCAAGGCTAGCGCTGTACCACTTGACCCACAGTGCCACTTCCAGCTTTTTCTGCTTATATGGTGCTGAGGAATCAAACCCAGGGCCTCATGCATGCAAGGTAAGCGCTCTACCACTGAGCCACCTTCCCAGCCCTCTTCATTCATTTTTGATGTATTAATCTGTGATATTTCAACAACTCATTCCTCCATAAATAAAAAATTCACTCTACCACTTATGACCTTCTTCCTGAGGTTCACTTACCTACTTCTGCAGGTTTGCTGGACAGAGCTGAGAAAGTGAGGTATGTGACATAGCAGCTTATAAGCCCTGACTGCAGCAGCCCGGAGTGTGGCTGCCCTGGGAAATAAGACAAATGGAAGACAATTTTACATTTCAGTGGTAAGAGGCACATGCCTCAAAAACAGAGATTCGACTCTTTCCACGAGAATAAAACTCCTTAGTCTCAACACCCACCTTTAGTAGAGAAAAGGGCTGCCAAGTGAATTTTTCAAACAAAGCTAAACTTTAGGAGACAGATAAACACTGACCTAGATAATACTATTGTGGTAACACCAAATTCTTGGAAGTTCTCCACCGCCTTATCAAAACAATAGGTATACTTAAACACAACGCTCAGTCTCAGACATACATGCAAGATCTATTAAAAAATAACAAAAGCAAAAAAGAGCAGGAGGCATGGCTTACATGTAGAGCAGCTGCCCAACAAGGGTAAGACCTAGAATTTAAACCCCAGTACCATTAACAAAAAAGAAGAAGAAGGAAAAAACACCTTTCTTATCTGTAAATGGACAAACCATTCAAGCATCCTGTGTAAGTAACAGAGCTGGTCCAGCCTAAAGCCTTGGGGCTTGTTATTAATTGTGAGAAGAGCTTTAAAGTGACAACATTTAAATAAAGCTTAGTGCTTAGATCATGTAGAGTAATTAAAGAATTTGGTGACAAAGATGGAATTTTTAATCACCTGTTGCCATGAAAGGATTCAGTCTTTCATAATGATTCAATTTGTTTTAAAATTAGTTTTAAGTTATAACTATCATTAAAGGTATAGGAACAGACCAATGATACTCTTTGGCATGGGAATGAGATTTACTTCTTAGCAACTAATGTTATTAAATACTTCAAAACATTATACCTATTCTTAAAAAGTAGAATTTAACCCAAGGAAGATTTTTATCTAAATGCCTATAATTTAAGGGGAAAAAAATGTTTTTGGCTTGAACGCAGGGCTTTCCTCATACTCTGGCTTGGTTTTTTGAATACTTCTCTACAACCTAAGCCATGCCTCCACTTTCCACTCTTTGCTGGTTAGTTAGAGATAAGAGTCTCCTGGATTTGCCTGCTTGGGCTGGTTTTGAACCAAGATTCTCAAATCTTAGCCTCCTGAAAAGTTATGATTAAAGGTGAGAGTCAATCAGTAGTGCTTAGCTGTTTCAGGAAATTCTTAAATGACCAACTTAGAAGACTGGACAAATAATCATCTCAGTTTCAGTAATGGAAAATTAATTTGCTATTTATTATCTTTTGGGGGGATCAGAGGGCGGAGCTAGTCTTAGGGCTTGAACTCAGGGCTTGGGTGCTATCCCTAAGCTTTAGTGTTAAAGGCTTCCACTCTCTACTATTTTAAGCCACAGCTCCACTTCTGACCTTCTGGTAGTTAATTGGAGAGGAGTCTCATATGCTTTTCTGCCCAGGCTGGCTTTGAACCCTGATCCTCAGATCTCAGCCTCCTGAGTAGCTAGGATTACAGGCTTGAGCCACTGCTCCCCAATTATATCCCATCATTTTAAACCACTAATTTTAGAAGGTTTTCAAAGGGGCTATAAATTTGTTGTCTTTCTACCTAGACATCTGAATTGTAGAGCATATTAGTGTTCTACCGAATACATGTTTCTTTTAAGAATCATCAGACCAGAGACAAAGGCCCAAATACATACAGGCTCCAGGAGAGCACTGGCTCACTAATCAGAAGTCATTTATACATGACAATTCACACTGCCATTTTCTGAAGCACTTTCATTCCCTATTGTCCTTTCCTTTCTGGCTTTGAAAAATATGAGCAAGGTCATGTTCACCAGCTTCCCTGCAGAATAACCCGGATCTGATGAAAGTTAGTTCATGATGTGAGAAGCCACCAGGTTAAAATTTCCTGTTTCCTGACTCTTAGACCATGCTGTCCTTGCTTTCTGATTCACCCTTAAATAAAAAAATGGCCCTAGAAATACCTTTTTCTATTGTCCTATCATCCAAGTTTTACCCTGAGATCATAGGCAAAACTCATAAACATATGCACAACATAGACTTAAGCTAATTTCACCACATTTCACTGTCTACATCTTTTGTCTTGGCTTCATTAACTCTGGTCTTTCTATCCATGAGGCACACTTGGAATATAAAAAGAGATGGGAGTTTTAACTTTCCTAGGTGGGCCCACCCATAGGAGGCTAAAGAATGACTCAAAATTCCAAACAACCATTGGGTTTCACATTTACAACAACATTAAGTATAGAAGAATAAAAAAGCCTTGCTTACGATTCTGGACACAGGGTGAGATGGCTACCATTGAAATGAGTAGGCACAGACCTCCATGCACTCCCAGGAGAATTTTGTTGTCCATGCAACCATCTTTCTGGGTATAAAATACTGCCATCAAAATCAAACCTCCGGTGGCAACAGAGTACATGATGAGTGTCACCAGGGACAGGGAGGCGTACCACAGCTTGTTAGTGGCAGTGCCTGCAGTCCTGTTTCTCCACAAGCAGATGAGACAGAGGAAAGAGAAGACAAGTCAGTGAAGACTCCATTTTTAACCATTTTTCAATCCTTCACGCATAGACTGATGCTATAAGGTCACCCACTACCCAGAAGACACGTTTTAGCAATGATTATTCATGTTCCACTAGATCGAAACAGTTCTCATAAATATGATCGAAACAGTTCTTATAAATATATAAGTTTCTTGGCTCAGGCCTAGAATCTTTTCTAAACACGAGAAGAATTTCCTTTGACTCAAGTATGCTCATCAACTAAAATAAATACCCATGGGCTTTACCCTAGCTTCTCTATTCTGAATGTGAAACCCTGCAATAGGTATTGGCAGCATTATGGTATGAAGTCAAGGTGGCTCTTCTCTGGAGTTCCATTCTCTCTGAGGACAGAGCCTGGAGGTGCTACAGTCTCTCACTCCAAGTGCTGCCAATGGACCACCTTCTTTTTGTAGAAAAGCAAATAACTCGATTCAGAGCAAGTTTTCCCTCCTTGAAGGGGATCTGCAGTAGTGTTGCTTCTAAATAATATGAATAGTAAAGAAGAAATGATACATACACACACCAAAAAGAAAGTGAAAAGGCCAGGTGCCAGTGGCTCACACCTGTCAAGAAGCTTAGATCTGAGGATCATAATTCAAAGCCAGACCTGGCAGAAAAGTCCACGAGACTCATCTCCAATAACCAGTAAGAAGCTGAAAGTAGAGATGTGGCTCAAATATTAGAGCAAAAAAGCCAAACAAAATCTTGAAACCCTGAGTTCAAGCCCTAGTACTGTCACAAAAAACAAAACAATCCCCAAGACCAAAAACAAGACCAAAAACAAACAAACAAACAAACACCAAAACAGTGAATAAATCATGCAAAGAAAAATTATACTGATGTAGGGCTGGGAAGGTGGCTCAGTGGTAGAGCGCTTGCCTTGCATGCCTGAGGCCCTGGGTTCGATTCCTCAGCACCACATAAGCAAAAAGAAAAAAGCCGGAAGTGGCGCTGTGGCTCAAGTGGTAGAGCGCTAGCCTTGAGCTGAAGAGCTGAGGGACAGCGCCCAGGCCCAGAGTTCAGGCCCCACAACCGGACCCCCCCCCCAAAAAAAAAATTATACTGACGTATGATGAAGAAATAAACAGAAGAGAACAATGCACTTTTTAGTTTCTATAAATATTAATAAGGGAATGGGCAAGATACATAGTGGTTGAAATCTATGGAAATTGCTCAGAACAAAGAGTGTTTATAAATACTAAATGAAGAAGACAGAACAAAAGAATGGAGTGAATCATTGTCATCTGCCTCATGATTCAATTGCTCTCTGTAAGGACATTCTTCCAAATCTTCAGAGAAAGCAACTTGCTTAATGTTTTCACAAAACTGGAAAGCATTCAAGCAACCCAGCTGAAATGTTTTAATGATGGAAAAGTTACTGCTGCCAGAGACAAAGGAAAACAGGGAGGAAAGGCCAAAATGATAATGACCATCATATTCCTGAAACCAAGCCAGGCACATCAATGACCACATAATTATCTAATGTAAAAGGAACACAAAGGAAATGAGAGAAAAATGAAACCCAAAAAGAGTGAGACAAGAGGATCTAAGAGCCCAATAACGACAGATGACAAGGATACAGAGTGGATTATACATTAAAAGGTGGACATTGCTGGCTAGTGGGGAGGAGGGGGTCCATCCTACTTTTTCTCATTTTTTCCGTTCCATTATTAGTCCACAAAGGACTTTCTTATAGCTACATTTATATTGTCAAAGTTAAATCTTTGACCCTAACCTCTTCCTTGAACTAGAGGCTCATATTTCTCAATGACTCTACTTGGAGGTCTTACTGATATCTAAAGCTTAGCTGCAGGCTGACTCCTCTATGCTCACACCTCTCTCCCAACCTCAGAGACCACTTCTGCTCTTCCCGTTATTAGCAGAAAGACATGGAAACAAAAACAAAACAGAAAAAAAACCAAGAGCTGCAGTTGCTCTGTAGTTTCCCCTCTCCTCTGTACTTTCTCTTTCCTTGATTCACCTTTGGATTATACCAGGATGTAACCACTGCTGCTACTTAGGTCCAAACCACTCCTCTTTGAGTTGATCACTTCAAACTGGCCTCCTTACTTGTACCTGTGGCTCACTTTTATCTGTCCTTAACTCTAAAATAGATAATCTATTATATTTTTATTTTCCTTCAATACCTTTGTGTTCCCCCAATATCTCACTTAAAAAAAACAAAGATTTAAGAAATGGACATGTCTCTCAGAGGTACAGTACTTGACCATTATTGCAAGGTCTTGGATTCTATCCTGAATACACATAAAAATAAGTAAATGAGAATAAAAACCAAAGCCTTTACATTGGTTCAGGGATACCTCTAATGTCATCTTCTCCACTCTTCCTATACCATGAAGCCTAAGCCACAAATACCCCTTTGCTCCTTAAATGAGCTCAGTAAGTTTAAAGCCAGCTTGAAGTGTTCTTTTGAGGAGTCCTGCTTGAAGCTCTCTTCTGAAAGAGGGAACCAGCTCCCCGAACTCTCTTAGTCTTTAGTTTTCACAGAAGAGCCTACTGCATATTTGCTTTATTCCATGTTGAGTATCTCTTTCCCACCAGGAGAATGTCCTGCTCGACAGTGCAGGCCATGGTCATGGGCTATGCCACCAGAAAATGACAAGTGCTCATTGAATACTAAGGCCAAGATTGTCATCTGTTAAAAAATAACTTTAGGCAACAACATTAACAGTGGCTGCTGCTCCCATGTTTCAATATTTACTCTCTGGATGGAATTTTATTTTTGGAAACAGACCAAATAATACTATGACTTATTTATCTTTAAAGTTTCCATGTCTATCACATTGGCATATGTATTCCAGAATGCTGACTGACTAAATGCTAAGTGAAATACAATGGAAAAGAGAAAGGCACAGACAACAGGGCAGAGGCTATGGACCCAGGAACAATAGGTACCAGGCTAGGAATGTTCTCTAAGCTCAAGTTTAGGGTTAGTATCAGAATTAAACTAAACCCAACAAAGTGAATTTAAAGTCTGGTATGTTCTGAAAGTAAGATTCTATTCAAAACATCTGAACATACTAGTTTTGTTGTTATTTTAGTTTTTATATTGACAATTCAACTCAAAAAATTTGACTTAGAAAACCCAAAATCAACACATTTTTAAAAAACAAAACCATCTAGCCTAAATCAACCACATCATTCTACAAAATGATTGAGGTAAAAGAGGCCAAGACCAATAAGTCCCAAAGTCAAATGTCAAGAGGAGAAGTGGCATCAGAATCTACCCTGTCCTGGATTCCAGGGCTAATGGCATCTCTATCCTACCACTTTGGGGATCTTCTCTTCAATATATCACAGAAAGAAAGGGAAGTAAAGAAGGGAGGGAGGGAGGGAAGAGAGGAAAGAGAGAGAGAAGAGAGAGAAGGGGAAGGGGAAGGGAGGAAGGAAAACTTAGAAAAAGTATCATCAGCAAGTTTTTCAAAACAATGAACTTATTTTCTAGGTTAGCCCTATAAGCAAAAATACAAAAATATAGTAAAGAGGCAGGCACTGGTGGCTCATGCCTGTAATACTAGCTGATATCTCTAGGTCACAGTTAGAATCCAGCCTAAGCAGAAAAGTCTGAGATGCTTATCTCCAATTAACCACTAAAAAGCCAGAAATGGCAATGTGGTTCAAATGGTGGAGCACTAGTCTTGAGCAAAAAAACTAAGGGACAGTGCCAAGGTCCTGAGTTTAAGTAGGTGAATAAATAAATAAGTAGACTAAAGTTGAAAAGGCTTCAAAGACAATGACAATATTATGAATGTCATAGCTAATTTCTAATTTTATGCAAACCAACTAACTATACATAGGTTGATAAAAAAGGGATTTATAGAGTTTTCGGTTTTAAAGTCTGAACAATCACAACATTATTTGTTGCAAAGTTCAGAAGCCATTCTGAGTGGTTTTTAAAGCAACCAAATTCTTCCAAAATACCTTTTAAAACTAGGCACTGATACTTTGCTCCAGAAATTGGCTTCAAAATTAATCAAATCATTACAGTCAGAATACAAATCCTGCTATTTAATGGGTAAATCAGGAACTCAGTATCTAAGGTGTTAATATTTTACCATAAAGTTGACTACTTGAAGTATATCTGTGAAAATTTTAGGATGACATTTATTTTGTCTAATACAAAACACACAGTGAAACTTTATACATTAAGAAATACTGAGGCCCAGCACATTGGTTCATGGTTGTAATCCCAACTACTTGGGATGCTAAGGATTTTGGTTCAGGGTCACCATAAGCAAAACATTCATGAGACCCTATGCTATTCAATAAAAAGCTAAGTATGGTGGTGCTCATTTGTCATCCTAACTCTGGGTGAAGCATAAATAGAAGAATTATAGTCCAGACCATCTCAGGCATAAAATTTAAGATCTGATGGGGGGGGGGGGGGGGAGTAAAAACAGCTGAGGGTAGGATTCCAATGATAGAATAGAATACTCAGAACACCTTGGCACAGGTCCTGAGTTCAAACTCCAGTACCAACAAACAAACAAAAGAAAAGGCTTATTTTGTACCAGATTAATTATTTTAAAAGTATAGAAACTAAGACAGCAATTCAGTGCTTTGTCCAGAGTCAACTTAAGACTTGGATCTCCAAGGGCTAGAAGTTGGTCTGGTTGTCATTTCATCAATGCAGTTTAGCAAGGAAAAACTAGCTATTAATAGTTGGGCATTTCCTACTCAGCCTGGGATGGGAATTCTATTTTCAAGACATTTAGAAAAAGTCAAACATTTTCAAAGGCAAGATTGGCTTTCTAAGGCAGAACAACACATCTTCCTAATAAAGAACATTTCCCTTCTTGGGAAGTTACAAGGAAACAAAATTTATAAAAAGTACTGTATCTCATGTTGTTTGTAGAAGACAAGTCATCAGCTACAAAATATTTTTAGAGTTTTTTTTTTTGTTTGCTTGTTTTTTTTGTTGTTGTTGTTTTTTTGTTTTTTGCTTTTAATCTCCTGAGGGGTTGGGAGCCTACATGTAACCTAACCAAGTTCAAGCCACCCCAAAAACCAGAGACAGGACTGGCCGGGACCAGCAATGGTTTATAACATTGGCTGAGGCAAAGCCCAAATTAGAGAGCTCAGGGGAAAAGAATATCAAGAAGTGGAAAGAAAGTAAATGTAGCATGAAAAGGCAAAAAATGACAGAAAATCAGTAGTAGAGAAATAAGTGGACAAGGTATAAAGGGAAAGTAATGTACCAATTGTCTTTGGTATAGACGGCTAATCTCTAATAAGGAATTCAGAGCTGTTTTCACCAACAGTAGGCAATTTCTATGAATCAGTCAGTGAGTTTTCCTGGAAGTGTCCCATAAATGCACACACCAGTTCTTGTTCCATTTATGTGCAAACTCCACAATCAGGAGGAGCTGGATCCCTATGAAGATGAAACTTCCGATGGCTCCCACGTAGCGCCAAGCTGCAACAGAAGATCATCCAAGAGGCCATGAAATGAAGCTTCCAAAAATTTCAAAAGGATGTATTCATTTTTACTGAATAGTTATTATATGTATAATAGATTCAGTTCCCACAAAACAATACACAGTTGGAATATAATACTCACTTTCTAGTTAAAAACTGAGAGTCTCTGTGAGTTGACAAAGCCTCATACTCAATAATAAGGGAAGTTGGGATTTGAACACAGGGAGGCTGATGGTGGAGCATGCAAGCTTAGCTGCCATGCTAAACAACCAGGTGTATTAATTCCAAAAATCCACAATGGCCCACACACATGGCCAGAAAAATCAAGGGTTTAAATCTTACTAAGCACTCATCAATGTTTAGTGAGGAAATGAGGTGGGGCTTGGAGAACAAAGGCTCAAGTCTGCTTTTAGTTCTGTCACAAAGAAGCTAGAGCCCTGGATGAACAACATCCTGAGGGCTACGGGTGTCTATAAAAAATCACAAAGTGAAGCCGAGGACTTCTAAGTCTCTTCTCATTCTAAATAAACTACCCTAAATACACATAAAAGGATTTTAGTGGAGAATAGCAAAAATTAATAGTAATAGGTAAAAATAAGACTTGATAGAACATAATTGTTTCTCTTTCCTTTTTTGGAGGGGAAGGCAGGGCTTTATTATCTCAGACTAATCTAGAAATTATCTTCTTGCTTTCCTGAGTGTGAGGATTACAGGTATGCAACCATCATGTCTGTCTTGAATAAAATATTCTTAAGAAGTATATGAGAATATAATCAACATTACATAGAGACATTATATGCATGTAATGAAAAAGTCACAATGAAACCTACTACTTTGTGCAGTTAATATATGCTAATAAAAATAAAATAAGTTTTAAAATAAGCTTATTGAAAAGCTAGTATCATCTTTAAATTTTAGCTGGACCCTCATATGTAACTATCTGAGGGAATATGGCTGGTCCTTACCATTTGGCAGTGGGTTTTCACTATTTTAAATTAGGAAAGTAAGTCCTTTGGTGTTGAACAGAATATTGTTAAATACTGAAATCAGGTTCCCCTCTTTCCTAAGATCAAAGGAATAAGGAGGCCCTGTTTCAGCTATGACAAAAGACTTCATGTAAATGAACCTTATGAGATCTAGCAGAAAGGAATAAAATTTAATGTTATAGAGCTTCACATAAAGAAAATTTTGAGCCAGGCACCAGTGGCTCATGCCTGTAATCCTAGCTACTCAGGAGGCTGAGATCTGAGGATCATGGTTCAAAGCCAGCCCAGGCAGGCAGGAAAGGGTGTGAGACTCTTATCTCCAATAAAACCACCAGAAAACTGGAAGTGGCACTGTGGCTCAAGTGGTAGAGCACTCAACGTTGAGCTGAAGAGCTCAGGGACAGCACTCAGGTCCAGTGTTCAAGTCTCATGACAAAAACAACAACAACAAAGAAAGTTTTGCTAAAACAAATAAACAAACAAAAACTTATGGTTTCCAGTTTAGAAAGAACCAGGTATCTCCTTGACTAGTTTTCAAGCAAATTTTTAAGTTCATTTTCCCTTCAGGCCAATAACATTAAAATTATCATTTCAATTCTTCAGCTAATAAGAGTAACTGAAGGACCTTTCACAGGTTGCCTGGGCTAAGGGAGAGTAAAGAGAGGAGTATAAGCAAGTAAATGGGAGGATTCTTTTATGCCACCGAAAGTAATTAACAATATCAAAGTTGCCCAGCTACAGCTCTGAACAGTTACACAAGATGGATAAAACAAAATAAACAAGTATCTCTGAATACCCCATGTATATTTACCATTCAGAAAGGTCTCCTGATCTGGAATGAAGAATGCTCCTGAGCACATGGCCCCCAGAAGCAGAAGCTTAAAGAACCAAAAGCTGAGAAAGAAAGAAGAGAGAGAGAAAAAAAAAAGAGGAAATGTATTCAAATGATATTCAAATAAGAACAAAAAAAGCTTGGACGGTGGCATGTCAACCCATGATTCTGCCATTGCTAGTGTGCTCTCCAAATGGAGGGCAAGTAATTACATGACTGCTTCAGAATGCCTTTTCCCACAATTAGGCACACTTACTTTGACCTCTAATTACACAAAACTCCAGTTCACTGCAGAGGTGAAAATGACCCAAAGGGGGGGGGGGGGAGGGAGGAGGTGGCACCAGGAAGATCTTGGTGAAAGAAATAAATACTTGGTCTCTGACAGATTTCTCTTTATGGTACCAGGTGTTACAATAGCACTATAAGTCATAAGACAAATAAGCATGCTTCTTAGGCCCAACTCCACTTTTCCCTAAATCAGTAAGAACAATTTTAACTGGAGGAGGAGCAGTTGAGATTTGATGAGTGGAATGTAATGGAGAAGACAATCTCCATGAAACAGAACAGGTAACTTACCCATTGTGAATATGGGCTCTGCAGCCTTTGCTGGTGTTGATTTTCAGGGTGATTAGGCAGAAGACAAAGAAGAAACAAGCCATTCCAAAACAAACTCTATACACGGCAGAATACCCCACCAGCTTCTCACAAGTGTCACCAGCTTTGATGCCTTTACAAAAATCTTCAAAGAAAGGAATCTATGGAAAAATAAAGTCGAAGGGGTGTCTGTTATAACTGGATTAGAGACCGACCAACTGTTATGAGTTTTCATTCAGCCTGAAGTCAGAATCCACCATGGAAACTCACTGTGTGCACAATGAAACAGACCGAGATGAAAATCTATCTTCTAAAGACCTTTTCTTAATCTTTCTCTCAATCTGATCTTAAATTGTTATTATAAAGATGATGTACAGAGGGATTACAGTTACGAAAGTCAGTTATAGAGTACATTTCTTTCTGGACAATGTTGCCCTTTCCCTCATTCTCTCCCATTTTTCCCCCTCTCAATCTTTAAACATATGTGTAATATAAGTACATATATATATATATATATATATATATATATATATATACACACACACACATACATACATACACATACATATATATTCACATAGTACTACATATCAGAATAAGCTGATAAATGAAAACAATGAAATGGGAGCAGGGGCTATAAAAGCAGGAAATAAGGAAGGAGCACAAAATTTTAGCATCCTGGCCTTATAGGAAACAAATCCGAAAGTCCTCTTTAAGGACTCCTATTCTCCTTATTTAACCCAAGGCTAATCTCTGTAATAAGGAAGATGACTCAAGACTTTTTTAACGAAAAAATTTTAAATTTATTTTTATTATTATTAATTTTTATTCAGTGCTAGGGTTCAAACCTAAGACAAGGCATGCTAGGCAAGTACTCTATCTACCACTGAGCTCTATCCCTAGGATCCTATCATCTTTAAAACTGGGTGGCTGGGGGGGGGGGGAATGTGGCCCAGTACCTAGCATGCATGAAGCCCTGGGGTTGTTTCCTCCATACCACATAAACAGGAAAGGTTGGAAGTGGCACTGTGGCTCAAGTGGTAGAGCAAATGAAGCTCAGGGAGAGGCCCAGGCCCCGAGTTCCAGCCCTAGGACTGGCAAAAAACAAAAACAAACAAAACTGGGTGCCATCCCATACAGAAGTTTTGATTTCTGCGAATCCAGATCAATTGTTTGTGTTGAGCAATAAAGCCTTTGGCAGATAAGGTATGGTACTGATGGACTCCAGCCAGTAGGTTAGTTTTGATAGTCAGGGTCCAGAGAAGAGAATGATCAGTTTCTACAATAACAATATTAGACCTATCACTAGTGTTAGAAGTACAGACCAGTGATCCAAAGCTCAGCTCAGCATTTGCGAGGTTCTATTTTGACCCTACTTTAGACCCACTGTAGTAAAACAGTCTTGCAAGGCTGTCCAACAGAACACACCAGCTGCCTTCCATCCCAGTGCCCACATGCAACCTGTGCTTTTCTGGTTGGAGAAGATAGATAAGAGATTCCTCTTGGATTATTATAGTTGCCAAAGGAGTGATGTGTCTTGGAACAGGGTATTCACAGATGCCATGATCTGGTCAAAATGCTGTTTTTGGGTAAATCATATGGGGGTCATCAAAAACAGCCTGGCAGCTATCAAAAGGAGACTAGATAAATGCAAACAATGGCACAAAAACTCTCAAGGATGGTATGAAAGCTTATTCAGCTGGTCCCCAAGGATGACATCCCTAATATCAGCAATAGCAGGACCCCTGGTCCTATTATTACTAATGTTGCTTTTGGCCCCCCATATTATAAATGCCTTAATGTCATTTGTACAAAAGAAAATTGGAGCAGTAAAAATGTTAGTCCTACAGGCTCAATATAACCCCCTACAACAGGAGGACATAATTGGCTAAAGAGTCAAGGAACTTGACTCAGTTTCAAAGATAAGGGGGGAATGCCAGGACCAGTTTAGCCAAAGTAACTCCATTTTGTATAAGCAGCCATCTAGTTTGTAAAGTATAAGCATGAGCTGACCTTGCCCGCATCTGCTGTTTGTGCAGTAAGGGCAAGCTGACCCTGTCTGTAAGAGAAAAAAAGAAAGAAAAACAATTTCCAAGAAATGGCCAGCTCCCAGAGACGAAGCCAAAACGCAAGGTTGAGACAGGCCAGGTGGAGGCGTTCAATCAGTAAAAAGCACATATGTAACCCTCCTGTTTTAACCAATAAGAGTTAATGATTAGTTAGTTTATGATTTGTGGTTTTGCCCTATAAAAGAAAGCCTATAAGACTGGGAGGGGTCGCTCTCTCCATAGAGACGGCCCTGACGGTCAGTTTAATTCTCGCTGCTTGGAGCAAAATAAAAGCTTTGCTTATCTTTTGCTTTGTGTCAGCCTCGGTCCTTGATCACGAACCTTATCACTCCACTCTAATATATGTACCTTGGTACCTCGTCCATCACCAGTAGCCCATTTTTCACCTTATCCTCTTCTTCCCCCTTCATACTACCAACCCTGCTCTCCTTTTTTCCCCTACACATCAGCTTCTGTGCCACCATTCCCAGGATACCCCTCCCTTGATTGCTCCAGTCCATCTCTGTCTGCGCCTAGACAGGCTCATCAAAGGGCAACCATGTGGCATTGCACACTTCATCCAAATTAAAAGAACGCAAATAACGCCTTTCTCCTAATACTAATCAAGCATCTTTTATGCTTTGTAGGTGACCTAGCACCATTTAGCTTTCACTTAGTGAGTGGTAAGTATTTTTAGGCAAAGAAAAAACAAACCTCCAAGTTGAACAAGCCAAAAGGATTTTTTAGCAAGAGGAATTTGTTCTGATTAAATATTTGCTGTTCCAAACTCCAACTCAGTTTTGAAGAAAGAAAACATACATCAGAGACAGATTCTACACACAAGGGTGTTGCCTCTTAAGTCTAGTCTGGGCATGTGAGGACATGGAGGGTTAGCCAGGCTCAAACACTGAGTCTATGTGGTTTCTGCTCAGCCTCTGAAAACTATTTTTTCTCCCATCCTTCACAGTATCCAACTCTAAGCCACAAACCAAGTAAGAATAAATAGTTCACGTGGACTTCCAATCCTGACTTCATTGCTCACTTGGGTAAGTCCTATCTCCCGCTTGTCTCAATTTCCCCATCTATAAAACGAAGTGATCTCAGAGTTTCAATAAGAATGATATCAGATAAACCTTGTGACATGCTTACCCCAATTTCAAAAACTCACAGTAATCATTAAGCTTATTTCCTTAATTCTAAAGCATTATTCAATAAGGAAAAAGAACTTTCAGGGGATGGAGTCAGACTCATTGCCTAAATCACTGACTTATGGCTGCACTTCAGTCTAAATCTGGGAGGTAACCAAGCATCTTAGAACTCATTAGATGCTCTAGTCACTTTACCAACCAATTCCTACAAATTAACTTCAAATAACTCTTCGATAAGAAGAGTTCTAGCTGTGCGCCAGTAGCTCATGCTTGTAATCTTAGCTACTCAGGAAGCAGATATTTGAGGATCTCAGTTCAAAGCCAACCCAGGCAGTAAAGTCCATGAGACTCTTATCTCCAATTAACCACCAGAAAACAGGAAGTGGTGCTGTGGCTCAAGTGGTAGAGCACTAGCCTTGAACTGAAGAGCTAAGGGACAATGCCGAGGCCCAGGGTTAAAGCCCCATGACCAACAAGAAAGAAAGAAAGAAAGAAAGAAAGAAAGAAAGAAAGAAAGAAAGAAAGAAAGAAAGAAAGAAAGAAAGAAAGAAAGAAAGAAAGAAAGAAAGAAAGAAAGAAAGAAAGAAAGAAAGAAAGAAAGAAAGAAAGAAAGAAAGAAAGAAAGAAAGAAAGAAAGAAAGAAAGAAAGAAAGAAAGAAAGAAAGAAAGAAAGAAAGAAAGAAAGAAAGAAAGAAAGGAGTTCCAGCCACATGTGGTAGTATAGGCTTGTAATATCAGTACTTGAGAGAATTCAAGGCCAGCCTAGGCTATGTTAAGACCCTGTCTCAAAATACCAAGGGCTGTACTCACCTAGTACATGCTAGGCCTGGGGTTTAATCTCAAATACTGAAATAAATAAATAAATAAATAAAGGAAAATAGGAAGAGGAAAAAAATTGAGTTTCAATTCCCCCTTCCATAACAGAATTAAAAAAAACAAAAACAAAACACAAAAACAATACGCTTTTACTAATATAGTCACTTCGTGAAACATTTCCAATCATGAACATAAGTATTAAGTTCAAGGAGAAGGAAGCTAGAAGAAGCTCTACGTGATACATGACTCTGCCAACAAAGGAGAGAGGCTAGCAATGACCCTCTCCCTCCCTGCCCCCAACAACTTCATATCAAGAAATAGTAAGGAGACAACTACAGAAAGGCCTTCTGGTCTAATTGGCCAGAGGACCAGATGTTGCCCACTTGGAAAATGTACAGATGTGAGTGGCATTTACAGAAATGGCAAGGAAGATGATTGTGGTTCTGGGATATCCTGATTTGAGAGATGAAAACACGATACAGGTAAAACAAATTAGTTTTACATTTCTAGAGCAGGGAATGAAACCAAGTTGCTGAGAATGCTTTGGGCAGCTCAGCATGAGCAATAAATGAAACTCACAGAAACTAGAAGAACGAGATTTGCAAATTATTTAATCATCTCTCACTTCAAAAGAATCTCTGGTAAGCCACTCCCAGTCTCCTTTCTGATATTCTACTAGTTTCCAAATTCCCCAAGGTAGTGTTTTCTCTGTCATTCTAGGCTCTCTGATAGCGATGTCCACTTAATAGTGAATAAGAGCTGTGACATGGGAAAAAAATGAGTCAGCCTCCACCATTCCCTAGATAGAATGAACATGCAGGTCCAGTTCCCAGCGAGTGAGCATCCTTGAAGCCTTTTGTGGGACCTGAAAGTTATTTTAAAATGATAACAACAAGTACTCACATCCCTTTTGCTTAGGTACCTGGAAATGTCCAGGAGAAAAGTCTATCATGTATCCATAAAAAGAGGCCATGCACTAGTGGCTCATGCCTGTAATCCTAGCTACTCAGGAGGCTGAGAGCTGAGGATCATAGTTCAAAGCCAGCCATGGCAGGAAAGCCCCTGTAAGATACTTACCTCCAATTAACCAGCAAAAAGCCAAAAGTGGAACTGTGGCTCAAATGGCAGAGCACTAACCTCAGATGGAAA